TCCAAGTCCCCCATGCTGTCCCCTTCCTCGCCCATGAGTCCAGCCCCGAGGTCAGCCTCGGTTCCCCCAGGTGGGGTTGTGGCGACAGTGGTGGGCGGTGTGTTACGGAACTCTGAGGGCCGCGAGTTGTATGGCCCGGTGCTGCGGCAGCGGCCACCCCTCGGGCGAGGCTCGTTCAGCGAAGACTCGACGGCCTCGTCGGCCTCCACCAACAGTTCGACGAGTAGCGCCAAGGCCGGGCAGCTGTCCTCCAACAGCAGCAGTACCGAGAGTGTCAACTCCCAGGAGGGAGCTGGGCATCGCCAGCAGAACACCAGCAGCGTGCCCCCGACGCCCCCTCCGAAGCAGAGGCAGGAAAACCTAGAAGCAAGGCACATGGAGCTCCTCAGGCGCCAGAAGCAGCTGCAAGAGCAATACCAGCGCCTCCAGGCCCTCCAGCGTTCAGGAGGTCGTCTCGCTCCGGCCAACGTGGACTTGAAGAAAACGGGGAGCGAGAGCAATCTGTCAGCCCGCCTGGGCCTCTCCCTGGCCCCGGTGTCGCACGGGTCCCTCTCCAACCTCGCCTCGTCCCCGTCCCCATCCCAGTCGCAGGCCTCCCACACCAACACCCTCCCCAACCCCAAGACCTCCTCCCTGGCCACCGTGGGAGGGGACGCGCACCTGACGACGAAGCGCACGAGTGGTGGCCTGGTGGAGACCGATATTCTCTGAAGGCCCTGGGCTCTGTTTATACACTGAGTATGGAGGAAGACTCTCCTTATTCATGAGAATAGGATATGTAAATATGTAAAGTTTATACATACAAGAAACTGCCAACAGAGAGACTAAGGGAAACTTACCATGCAATATACGCTTTGTTTAGGACTCATTTTGCGTCATTTGACAAAACATAATTTTTGTCATGGTTATTTCAAGGTTTATCTATGTCATTAAAATCAAAAGACTTTTTGCCTACCAAACTCCTTGATCAAGAAGAAGATTTTAAGGATGATTTCTTATCCGATGACATAAAGTTCCAAAAAGGGTGGACACAAAAATGTTGCTCAAAACAGGATGCTAAAGACAGCCAACAGAGGAGTATAATTATATGTTATACTTGGTGTACTATAATGAGTGAGGAACAGAGATTTCTGTCTGAATATAACATGTAGTTATAGTCCTGGCAAAAGGAATATAAGCAACGCTAAAATTGTTTAAAAAAAGGTGTGCAAGTCTATGATCTTAAGCCAGCTTTGTATGTCTGTATATTTAATGAAACAACTGATTTGTATTACATACTCATTAACATTTGGAGTGTGTGCGTGTGTGTGTGTGTGTGGTAAAATCAATATTTAGAGACCATAATCATCATAGTAATAAAAACTTCATCAAGTGTAGTTTCATAATTACAGTGCTGATTTAACAAGTGTGGGTATTGTTAGGTTGGTGTATCCGCGCAGTATGGCACCCACATGAGCGAAGCATATCAGGGTCCTGCATAAACTATGTTATATTAGTCTAACCACAATATATGTTTAAGTGTCATATTTTTACTAAATAATCTTGATTCATGGTTGATTTTCTCTTTTAAAGTATTTCACTTGATATCTATTTTATAGCTTGGCTTTGGGATTAATAGACTTGCAATTAATTTCTTTACTCATGAATTATGACAAGAAAGTTTCATGTAAATAGGTTATAAAACTGCACATGTTTATGTATCTGATACTGTCAATTGTGTCATTTTATTTATTTGCCTTCTTTTGTGACGATGTTGCGCACAATACCATTGTCACAACTTAAATTATTGTTATTAACACTACTGGCCATATTTTAAAGGTACATCAAACTGGGCAAAGTTTCATATAGAAGCTGTTTTTTGATGATTTAGATATTTCAGGAATACGTGCATATCTTCTGTATAAGTCAGTCAGCATTGGCACGCAAAAAAAGAAGAAATAAAAAGATACCTACTATGTGTTCACGAATTACATCGCTTAGACTTCGGTTACTCGGTCTTTCACTCCAGGAAAAAAACAAAACCTCACGGAGAAAAAAAAAAAGTTCTTCTAAAACGTGTGCAAATTATCTTCCTCGGACTCTGCTCAGTTCGACGAGGTTTAGAATGTGGTCATCTCGTGGTCCCTGTCACCCCCCACCCCCCCCTCCCCCCCCCTTTCAGTCACTTCTCTTGAATTCGGATAACCTCACGAAACCCATTTTAGAAGTGAGAGACAAACACACACATAACCGTTACTTCAGTGAGGGGAAATTAGTGTAAAGGACAGTCCGGTATCAGGATTGAAGAGAACTAACTGTATCATTTTCATTCACTGTACGGCATCTGCACTGTGGATTCAGGATGTGAGTTTCATACCTTCTCCTTTTTTCTCGAATATTCTGAGTTAGTCTTAAGGATTATGGATAAATTTAGTATGTTGGATTGGTGTTCCATAGTGAATAAATTAGGATTTTGTGTTGGTGTTCATACCATGCAGAAAATGGTTAAATCTTCCCCATGAGTTTGTGTTGTTTCCATAAAGATTGTGGATAAATTAAGCTTTTGAGTTGATGTCGATACCTCATGGATGGTCGAGAAGTTTCTTCAGTATATTATGTAGTTCTGGGGTCGTTATATGTAGGGTTTTGTTTATGATATCTTTCTTGCTGTGTCAAATTCTGTTTTAGGTGTTATATTATTATTATTATTATTATTATTATTATTATTATTACTATCATTATTATTATCGTTATTATCATTATTGTTGTCATTATTATTATCATTATTATTATTACCATTATTGTTATTATCATTATTATTATTATTATCACTATTATTTTTTATCAGTATTATCATTATTACAGTAATATTGCCATTATTGTCATTGGCAAAATTACTGTTTGATTCTAATTGTTGCTATTATCATCATTAGTATAATTATCATTTATATTATTATGATTATTATTATTATTATTATTATTATTATTATTATTATTATTATTATTATCATTATTATTATCATTGTTATTACTATTATTATTATTATTATTACTTTCCCTATATATTCATTATTACTATATTATTATTTTCAGTACTCCATGCAAGATCAGTTAACAGAACCAGTATGATAACAAAAAATAATTTTGTATTAGGATGATGACAAAGTTATGATTATAAGAGTTTTATTCAATTTTAAAACCTTCAGTTACATACCTTTCATTATTTTTTTTGTGCAAATGTATTAAATAATCAAGTTTACAGAAAAAAATAGATTGATAATTTATATGGTTGAATGTTCAGCCATCCACATCTATACAGATATATATCTTCATTTATATACAGTGAGCAGATACTGTATATATAAATGTATATAAATGTACATATTGACATATATGGACATGTATATAAGCTTATAAATAACTACTTTTACCACCTTTTATTTTATCATCATTATTGTCATAGGATTATTTTAATTTTTATTATCATTTATTTTTCATTATCTTTATTGCAATTATCATTATTGTTATCATTATTATGATTATTACTATTATTACTATTGTTATTGTTATTTTTGTTATTAGTTTTTATTATTATCATCACCATCACTATAACTATTATTATTATTATTATTATTATCATCATCGTTATTATAATGTTTACTTTTTAGGCTGAAACTCATATCCTAATCCATTGAGTTTTTCTCTTATTAGCAAATTTTTGAATTTTGTGGAGCAATGCTACCTTTGGTATTTCTTTCATCTGTCTTCGAATGATCTAATACATTTTTGGGTGATACTGTAACATATGAAAAAAAAAGATTAAGATAAAATACTTTATTGTTGCTGTTAATTTTTGGTTTGATTTTTGGGTCCATATCCAAAAAGTGTGGCTTGGAATTTCGACCTGGGCTCCATTCAGAGGTTTTTCTCATTCACAAAATCGCCGCGGAACTCACTCGGTTTCTGTGCAGATTTAAAGGTCAAGGATTTAAGCTTACGAGGTGCTGAGTTACCGGTGTGTTTTGTTAAAGGTCCTTAGAGCAAAAATGAAAATATGTAGTTGTTGCAAGGGTTCTTTCAGTCGAGTGTATCTATATGGATCTATCATCTGGTGAATTGAAGTTCATTGCAATGCAAAGATGCACACATACACACACACTCACACACACACACACACACACACACACACACACACACACACACACACACACACACACACACACACACACACACACACACACACACACACACACACACACACACACACACACAAACACAGGCTAATTGATATTTACCCAAATAATACTCTCCTTTGTGACCACCTCATAACAAAAGCAAAAGACACAGATAGACAGATGATAGATAGATAATAGATATCCAGATTGGTCTAGGCAAGATGGCTGCCTTGCAATTCCTTACGCTATATATGGTAATGATGCTTTACGATCAATCTGTTTATTTTAGTTTGAAGTTGAACTAATCTCGAAGACTATTTTAGTGAAATAAAAGATCAGGATTGATTTTTCGAAGCTCCCTCTAGTCAGCGTGGAATCGGAATACCTCTAAATGGGATCTAGTCTTGCTCGCCACCAAATGCTTGTAATTGTTCATGTTTTTTCGCCTTATTAAATAGTTGATACGAAAAAAAAAGCCTTTGCAAAATTGTCAAATAATGCATGGTTAGCATTTGTCAGTTCTTTGTAACTTATCTTGAATATCTGTAATATATAATGTAATTTTATAAGGAGTTATCGTCATTTTGGCTGCTATATAAATCAATGTGCTATTCTGGTGTTGAACATTGTAAACATACTTGCCAGCTCTTGCAAAATGTTCATTTCAATCAACGTTACTTTTTTTCCTTCAAATCCTTCTTTTCCACAGCACCGTGTTTTGAATTCTATGCTAAATTTGTTTCACTTATTAATTTAGAATCTGATATAGTTTCTTGCGTTCAGTGAAACCTATTCAAATTTTCAAGAGCTAGCTAAAGAATGCATTAAGAGATGGTATATGTAATATATGTCCTGTTAACTCTTATTTCAATGATAAAAGATATGTTTGCCACAAATAAAACTGCAATGATGTTCATTCTTCATTTACCTAAAGGAGCAATGACATAAAATATTGATGTGTGTGTATTTGATTCCAAAAATGATGATAGTAATGTATGCTAATTTTGTTCAGGTTTACATGAGTATTGTTTGTATTACTTGTATGTAACACACACACACACACACACACACACACACACACACACACACACACACACACACACACACACACACACACACACACACACACACACACACACACACACAGATAGTCAAAAGAGATTTTAATAGAAAAATCTTCAATGACCTGCTTAGCATACCTACAAAATCTTTTGAAAGGTTACAATGGGCTTCGCAAAAACAACATATAACCATAAACAAAACAAAATTACAAAGTCAAAATATGGTAAATACTACATGGTAAAAAATATGGTAAATAAACTACTAAATATGGTAAATTCACTTGAAAACCAATTATATAATAAAAAGAGTGTGCAAGGACTGTCGTGAGAAGACATACCAGACTAGCAAACACAGCTATTCAATCAAGACGATCATAATAGTGATTTTGGTATGAAATGGAACCCTTTTAATTGAAGAATCCATGAAATAATTTCTCTGGGAAGCTTAACTGTATCTTTCTAATAAGTATTTTCACTAATGTGTGTCTTCCCTTTCGTATACTTACTGATTCACGCATAAAATGGTATTGTAATGGCTAAGCTGGGGTGAAGAAAGCGGTAAATGTGTAGTTGATGTGAGCAAACAACCGAAAGATGAAAGAACAATAGTTTGTAATGAGCAAAATCAACAGAAAGAGTCCTTAAGCTTTTTAGAAAGAAAAAAGAGAAAATAGTTAATTTCAAAGCATTTTACGTGCCTTGCCTATTTGGTGCGATAGATATACAGATCATTAATAGAGAATGATACTGTTCGTAGGTAATATATTTATTCGCTCTTTTGCCATGGTGTGGTAACTCTACGGGTTTATGACTCCATATTTCAGTTACCAGACCTACAGATTGACAGAGACGCTTAAGACACGGATAAAACACAATGGAAACTATATCATGGGCTGTATGTTGTATTTAGCTTCACCTAACCGCATAACCATACAGCATTTGTAAGGAAAGTGATATATGTGAACAAGATCTTCTGGACTTTCTACCAAAGCGAAAGTAGGATCTGTAAGTAAAGGATATATAAATTTGTTAAACACAGCCCTTTTGAGTTTGATTTGTGTTAAAGCAGCACTACCAAATAAGCTATTAAGAAAAGCTGAGAACACCGAAGTTCATTTTTTACATTCAAAATAAACCAATCTTTGCTTCTTTCTCTCTATAGACTACAATATATATATAAAAGGTATTCTAAATTCTGGAGAGTCTAGAGACCACCAGATTAACGATAATGACGAGGAATTCCAGGATTATATTAATAGGAGATCACAGGGAATAAGTATATGACACAGACCGACTTCACTCAATCCACGGGGAGTTTAATTTATTCTTTGTGTTTATAAGCAGATGACTCCACAAGGGCTTAGCCACTTAGGAGTAAATTACTAGTCCTACCTATCTCTCTTAGTTACCTTTTCTCTTGATTTTCGGAAATATTTATTTTATATCCTTTATTGTTATATTTTGATATAATTTACCCTTTTTCTTAATTTGCGGAAATATTTATTTTATATTTTTTATTGTTATAAGTATTTTGATATAATTTACCTTGTCTCGATTTGCGGAAATACCTATTTTATATTTTTTATTGTTATATTTTGATATAATTTACCTTGTCTATTTATTTTCCGAAATATTTATTTTATATTTCTTATTGTTATATTTTTATATAATTTACCCTTTTTCTTGATTTTCGGAAATACTTATTTTATATTTTTTATTGTTATATTTTTATATAATCTTCATGTCATTAACAATAGCACCAGCATTGATAGGATTGATATTAGAGGGAGAAAAAATTGGAAAATTCGAGGAATGGGGAAGTCAGGCGAGGTCACTTGAGGTCTATTAGTGGCTGAGCATTTGTGGAGACATCTGTGAGCAACACACACACACACACACACACACACACACACACACACACACACACACACACACACACACACACACACACACACACACACACATACACACACACATACACACACATACACATACACATACACACACAACACACACACACACACACACACACACACACACACACACACACACACACACACACACATACATACAGATACACATACACACACACATACACATACACATACACACACACACACACACACACACACACACACACACACACACACACACACACACACACACACACACACACACACATACGCATACAGATACACATACACACACACATACACATACACATACACATACACACACACACACACACACACACACACACACACACACACACACACACACACACACACATACGCATACAGATACACATACACACACACATACACATACACACATACCACACCACACACACACACACACGCATACATACACACACACGCACACACACACACACACACACACACACACACACACACACACACACACACACACACACACACACACACACACACACACACACACACACACACACACACACACACACACACACACACACACACCACACCCACACACAGACACTCACAGACACTCACAGACACTCACAGACACTCAAATGAGACACCCGATGTTTACACTTGAAAATATGAAGTTTATCTTCAGAAAAACTCGCAAATTCTTAAGTTTTTGTAAGAAGTCCATAAGGACGCGTTATGACCGTAATCTTCAACTTTCTTGGTCTTTAAAAAGTCTTAAAAAAAGATTTAGCGTTGTATCCCCTATCTCGAGTTGCCAATTAGTGTAATCCAAATGTTAGTCGCTGACATTTGTAACATTCTTACGGTATCTGATTCTGTAATTTCCATAAAATCCTATTCAGAGAAATTGAAATTAAGTGAAAACATTTGTTGAAACTTATTCTTTAAAAAATCATATTCAGAGAAATTGAAATTAAGTGAAAACGTTGAAACTTATTCTTTAAAAAATCATATTCAGAGAAATTGAAATTAACTGAAAACGTTGAAACTTATTCTTAAGAAATTTCGTCTTGAATGGTTTATTGTCGATTTAGTATGTTTTTAAAAAGGAAAATCACAGACCAACATTTATACCAGGACGTAGAGGTTGCAAAGTACTGTTTAAAATGGCAACCAAGCATCTGGACTGAATTTCTCGATCTAATTCTAACCTTAATGCTGCAGAGCTTTTATGTCTGAACAAAAGGTTGACTTTAAAGACATTCAAAGTAAATTCTTAACCGGGATTCTAAGTTATCTCTCGAAGCAAACACTTCAATTGAATAAATAGCGTTTGTTCGAAAGTGCATTGACCTGGTACACTTCAGGGCAGAGCACATTTTCTCACGTCACTGAACATCCTAACGACCGGGTGATAGCTTGTAGAAAGGTAGGAATGAGAATGAATATCTTCACAATACAAGGGATGCATTACTAACGAAGATGTATTCGAAACCGGTCAAATATATATGTATTGAGAAGATATTCGTTCCCATCCATACCCTATCTACATTTGTCAACATGAATACAGTTCGTGGTAGAGTATATAAAACCTGATATAGGGAGAAAATACAACAAAATCTCTCTGTATTCTCGGTGACAGCAGGTGAGTGTAGACTGATATTCTCTCCAAAAGAGCGTTCAAACCTTATATGGATTTACCGCCAACCTCTCGTGTCAAACAAGCTGAACTAAATTTCTGTCACTAATACAAGTATCTCGACGTGAATATTGGTAAAATAGAGAACCTTAGAAATCAATATAAAAAATCGAAGTGATTGCTGGTAAAATAGAGAACAGAAATCAGTATAAAAATTCGAAGTGATTGCTGGTAAAACAGAGAACAGAAATCAATATAAAAATGTTAGGTTCTAGGACAAAGCGAAACACCACTACCGCTTCTTGTGAGCCAGATTGCAATATCCTTCTAAACTTTGCCAGATTGTTTTACTCATACAACAATCAAAGACGCTTTAAACCCGGTATTTAAAGAATTAGAACTGGCCTGTCTGAATATCGTGCGAAATAATGTGACGTGGATCGTGTTTCGCCGCTGATAAAAGAGAGAAAAAAGTATATCCAGTCCTAATCTTCCTCTTTGCTCATTGACTAAACCCTGATAATGATAATCATAGAGTCCATTTATAATGCAATTAAGGATAAATAATAAAATCCCAAAAGTCGAAAAAACGGCAAAATCTAGCGTATTACAGCCTTTTGAGAGAAAGGTCGGAAAAAAAAACACCTTCACGCCACCAGGAATACAATGAATTCCAACTGCACGTGATTAGGCAATTGAATTCCTTGTCTGTGGGTAATCAAGCGATTAAATTCCTTTTCTGTGGTTGAACAGTGTCGAGAAGAGGTCGAAAGATGCATGAAGTACACTCTGATGTGTCTTAGAAAGTGTAATTTTAAGAACAATGCCGATTTAGATGGTAAACAAGATGCTTAGGTTAGGGTGCTCACTCAACTTTGTCTTTGTTTCTATTCTTATTGTATAGAAGCTTTATCTTAATGGTAAAGTACAGATTTGTCGTTGTAAATCATAAGCAGGTCATATGTAAGAATTTTGTGTTGAGAAGACATCTTTGCTGTAACATTCTCATCGTCTGAGGAAATTCTCAAGGAATCATGTTTGTTCATGATTGCCCAATCAGGTGTTAGAATCCATGTTTTCCTCCTCATTCTAGCACCTTTCTGAGTTTGTTCATTGCGCATATGAATTTTGTTTCATCTGCACTAGTGAATGTATATAAAGGTTCAGTTTGTGTTTTATACATCTGACATATAGTCATTTTGATCTTTACACTGGGTAATGTATCCCGTATTCTTTATCTTATTCTTTGGGCTGTTTGATAGGGTTTAACTCCCGTGTAGAATTTTATATATATATATATATATATATATAATTATATATATATATATATATATATATATATATATATATATATATATATATATATATCATGTGTGTGAGTTAGCACTCCAATTGAGTTCAAAACCCTGTTTCATTTGGTTTAAAAGTTCTTTGTCTGAGACTTCGATATTTGATATATAATCTTATGTTGGTTCCGTGCAGCATCCCCTGAGGAGCCAAGAATCCACACTTTCTTCCTTTTCAGTAACATAGCTTTCGCTCCCCTGCTGACGTGCTTCTCCCCTGCCCTTCGCCTTCCTCCTTGCCACGAAGCCAGAGCGTCCCTTCCCAGACCCAGTCCCCAGGCGGTTCGCGAACAGCCTCGGCTCCTGAGGCTCGCGGCCCGATCCCTGGGAGTCCTCCTGGGTGCAGCGGCGTGGTCGAGCAGGGAACTAAAAGACTCTTTTTACAGATGGTCTTATTCTTTTTTTATCAAAGTTCTCGATAACTACAGATAAAGTATTTGAGAGTATTTTGAGAGAGAGCTGTAGACTCCTCAGTTATCATTATCATTACTTTTATCTCAAGCATATCCACAGGCGGGATCGAGACGCGGATATGATGAGATGCTGAATAATAATAAAAAAAGAAAAATGCGGCATGGAGAGACGCCCCGACCGCTGGCGCCCTGTCGCCCGCAGGAGCCCCGGGAGCAGATCGCCCGGAGGCCCTGCAGGAGGCGAGGAAGCCCCGGCCGAGGCTCTCCGCACCCCTGGCAGGGCAGCTTGTGATGACGTGTTAAGCTAAACCTGGCACCGCGGGCACTGGGGCAGCGGCACTACGCGACGGGGCTGGGGGCCGCTGGGCGTACTTGTCGCCGCCGCCAGGGCACCGCGGGCTGAGTTGGGGGGCGAGCCTGTACACACACACCAGTACCAGAGTACGTACACGTACAGCACCAGCACGCACGGAGAAGCGTACGTACACAAGGAGTACACAGTAGCAGAGGGCAAAGAACATGACAGCGACGATTGGTGAAGAGCAGACTAAGTAAAGAATAGAAGTAGAAATGGAAAAAAATAGACCGAGATGTTATTTCTAATTAATGATTAACAATAAAAATAAGCCATGGGATTCGAAATAATATATGACATCTCAAGCTAACCAATACAGATAGCTTTTACATGTAGTCAAAGAAAAAAAAAAAAAAAAAAAAAAAGCATAATTGAGACATGGTTATCAGATGGTCGCATCCCACACGACGGAAAAGTCTAGAGATGACCTTGCGGTGTCTTTTGGCTGATCTCGTGGGCGTGAAAGACAAGAGGTTCTCAGGAAGGTTTTCCCGTTGACTCCTTTCCTCAAGTCCGAGCAACATGGCCGGCTGGTGACGTTGAGCGGGTCCTGTGAAACCAAGATGGCGACGGAGATAGCGCGTTGCTTTGGCCGTTGAGTGGTTGGAGGTTCAAAGGCCAAGCAAGATGGTGTAGCTTGTCTGTTTCTCTGAGCCGCAGTTTGTTGACGCGGCCTCGAACACTGGATGAATTGGCAAAAGATGAGTAAATTAGTAGGACTTCATGTACGCCTTCTGGGAGATCTCGAAGTTCTTGATCGACTTTCGGACATCGTCGAGGAGGGAAGCGGTGCGTGTGTCAGGGATAGCCCGACGCTGCACGTTGCTCCGGATGCCTCGCTCGGCGAAGGCCATGCGACGGGGGCGGTCTGCGGGCGGGGGAGAGAACGGGTGAGTGCCGAGGGGGGCGGGCGCGGGCGCGGGGGGGGGAGATATATGTGGCTGGGAAAGATTTACGTCTAGATATACGTGTCTGTGTGTCTGGGAAAGATATACGTGTCTGGGAAAAATTTACGTCTAGACATAAGTGTCTGGGAGAGATATTCGTCTAGATACACGTCTCTGGGATAGATATACGTCTAGATATACGTCTGGGAAAAATATACGATTAGATATAAGTGTCTGGGAAAGACATACGTCTAGATATACGTCTCTGGGATAGATATACGGCTAGATATACGTGTCTGGGAATAATCTGATAGGCCTACGTTACCATGGGAGATTGGAGAGCAGCGAGACTCAAGGGGGTCGAGCTAGAGCGTTCGGGAATAGAGAGCTAAAGCGTCCATAGGGAGGCTCCCCGGATACTCACCACCACTCCTGGTGTCCATGTACTTGACCATCGAGCTGTAGTAGTTGTCTCCGTAGTCCCAGTTGTAGTCGTAGAAGCGGGCCTTGCGCCTGTTCCAGTGGACGAAGAACTTGGGCTTCTTCTTGGGTGGGGGGGGAGGAGCCTCGCCCTCAGCGGGAGCCTCGCCTTCAGCGGGAGCCTCGGCGGGAGCCTCGCCCTCGGGAGCAGCCGGAGGTGCTTCTGCAAGAGGGAAGGGGGATGAGCGTGGGTGCGCGGAGGGCCCTTTGTGGCGCCGGCGGAAGCCACTGAAGCCGGGCGGAGGCGGAGGCGCGGACGGCCGCTCCGCCAACACGCGGCTCGCGAGTTGGCGGGGCGGCCGGCTCGAGTGGGCGGAGTGACCGAGGCAGCGAGAGCGTACGCGCGCACGTGGTCGGGTTGGGGGTGGGGGGGGTTTGGTAAGGGGGAGGCCAATGGTTTATGGTTTTAACAAATTTTAGGTGACTTTAACCCTGTGTTTCTCTATTAAAGCGTTAACATTTTAATATTTACCGAATGATATTGTAAAACGAAAAATAAAACAACTAGTGGACTTCATGCATAAAATAAATAGGCAAATATATGTACAGTGATTTTATACATGAAATAAATTTTGTAAACAAGTAAAATAATTTCAATTAGTAAAAGCACAGAAACCTAATTAGTTTCGAATCATGTTCCGCTCTTAAGCATTTTTAGAAAACTTCGGGTGACTTTAAATAGAACGAAAATAAGGAAACAAAACCATATAAATATATTTCTCAAAAAGTAATAGAAGCAAAATCAAAATCAAAATCAATATTTCAAAGAGAATCTACGTATCTATCACTGTAATGTTAAGTTCTAAAAAATCAAAAACACAGAAAGAAAATACAGTGATATGCCACTATTACAGAGACAAAAGAAAGAAAGAAAAATAAGCTAAATAACTAAAATCTAAAATGACTACTGCTACGAAAATAAGATTTACAACGAAACTAAGACAGTGTGTAAATTATCTTGAAGATTTATCGTGCATTTAGGTAAAAGGGAGAGAGAGAAAGGGAAAGAGAGAGAGAGAGAAAGGGAAAGAGAGATAGAGAGAGAGGGAAAGAGAGAGAAAGGGAAAGAGAGAGAGAGACAGACAGACAGATACAGAGAAACAGAGAGAAAGAGAAATAGAGACAAATATTCAGAGAGAGAGAGAGACAGACAGACACAGAAATAGAGAGAGAGAGAAATAGAGACAAATATTCAGAGAGAGAGAGAGAGACAGACAGACGGACACAGAGAAACAGAGTGAGAGAGAAACAGAAACACAAATATTCAGAGAGAGAGAAAGAAGGATAGAGACAGACAGACAGAGAAAGAGAGAGAGAGAGAGAGAGAGAGAGAGAGAGACAGAGACAGAGACAGAGACAGAGAAACAAAGATTGAGAGAGAGAAAGAGAGACAGACAGACACAAAGAAAGAAAGAGCAAGAGAGAGAGAGAGAGAAGACAAAAAAGAAAAAGTAAGAACACAATACCAAAGACACAGAAGAGGAAGAAGGGCAGTGAAAAGTCGAATCGAAAGGAAGAGAAATGAAAGGAGACAAAGATCGTGTTCTGAAAGGAGGCAGAGAGAAGGACACAAGAAATTTAAACGCTGGCATCGTCCCTCCTGTTTGCCCGCAGCCATTTATTCAGATAGCAGAAAAAAAACTGTTTAATGTTAAGTTGTGCTATGAACTATTATGTATTTCTTTTCAGGCACAAGCGAGCAGCATCCTGGGCAGGATAACTTGGTCACGTGATGTGCCTGGCAAGTCCCGCTGGCCTGGGACTTAGCTTCTCAACTCCGCTAAGTGCTAAAAATGTGTTGTTTTGGAAGCTAGCAGAGTGTGCTTTTGTCTAGCGTGTTTCACTGGTAACGCCACAGCCTCTAGCGACTGGCGAAGAGGATATTAATGAACTACGAAGCATGCTGGAAGAGAATCACCCGCGCCAAGCTCGCCGGGCCGCGGGGGGGGGGGGGAAGCGGGAGCGAACCGCGAACCCCCCCCCCCGGAGGAACCAGCTTGGGGCGGCTGTTCTGTTCCCAAATGTGCTAAACGGCGTCTTTCCCGGTGGCAGAGACGCTGGCTGGAGACTAGTCGCTAAGAGCAGAGAGCTGAGCTGGCTGTAGCTCGCCGCCAGGCTACTACAGCTAGTGTAAACCACAGTCGATGTGTTCTGAGCAAACCATCTACTGCCGGATACACCTAGGACAATTAAATAGCAAAAGGCCAGGGCTACGGGCGCGCTGCCGAGGCGCTGCTGCGTCCAGGGCCGCCGCACAACCTTCCGTGGAAGCTGAAGGGTCATCGGCGGCGGGGGGAGCTGGCTCGGGCTCCGGCTGGGGCTCCGGCTCGGGCTCCGGAGGTGGAGGCGCGTCCTCCACCTTCTCGGCCTTCTCGGTCTTCTTGGACTTCTTCTTCTTCTTCTTGTCTTTGTTGAGAAAAGTTTAGACACGGTAAGTCAAGGGAGCGGGACCTCGGACGCCCCAAAGATCCTGCCAACAACACCTACCTCTCGACACCTTTGCTTTTGTTACAACACTTAAATCCTTTTCAGAATGATTCACAAATTTTTAGGTAAAATAAATGTCTAGTAAAAGGGACAAAGAAACCAAAATAAAAAGGGGGTAATTTACAAATTAATCATACAGGTAACAATACTCGATCATATTCCATCCACGTTTTAGAAGAATTCCATAAATGATTAAATATATAAACACCAATTTAAATAAAAAGCTAGAAATTCAAAAAAGAAGAAAAAAAAGAACAAGGCGTCACCACGTAGGTCTAAAATGGTTCCGGAATGGTGGCTCGGTGTCACCCCCTCCCCCCCTCCCCCTGTAACCCTAACCAAGGCAGGCACTTTTATGGTAACAGTTGTCAACCTGCTGTTCCCTTCTCCGGTCTCCCTCCCGCGATTATTCTCGCCCTTATTTTAGCTCCCTCTCCCCTCTCCCTCTCCCTCTCCTCCTCCTCCTCCTCCTCCTCCTCCTCCTCCTCCTCCTCCTCCTCCTCCTCCTCCTCCTCCTCCTCTTCCTCACACTTCCCCTCCCTCCTTCTTCGCTTCGTATCTCTCTCTTCTCCTATTCTTCCTACTTGTATCATTTTCATTTTGTATTCCCTTTTTTTCTAAAGACAATTGAGACGGTTTAAAGTGCTTTACAGTCGGCATTGAGTCTCAAGGAAGTATGTCAGGAAATTCTTCTATTATCTAGACATTTCTAAAGATTACTTGTTTTCCTTTATTAGAGAAAGAGAAGTGAAGTCTAACCCTAATAATTATTTCCCTCTTCCTTATTTCCCCCCCAAAAAAGGAGATAAAAGAGCCATTTGCGGTAATTACGGTATAATGACTGTTAGAGAAGAGCCATTTGTGGTAATTACGTTATTAGAAAATCGTACCACCTCTTAATAATCATTATATTTCCCCCCCATAAATAGCTAACTGAATTCTACCATTCGCATTTAATTATCTGAACTATACCTAATCTTTTCTTCTTCAAATTACGCACTTCGCTATGCTAGTAAGATGAAACGAACTCATGTCAGATAGCCCACTTGCTCGTAGCCTAGAATGCCTGGCTGCTGAACCCCTGGTCACGTGGTCAGCTCAGTCTATTAATAGCCTGTGACAGAGTTCGGTCATCGTCGAACTATTTTACGCATTCGTTGTAGTATAAGCTTTCGCTTTGCCATGCGGTTCTATTCTTAAGAACGTGGTATTCTTCATTTCCTTTTGTATAAATTGATGTTTGTCTGTTTTTTCGCCAAATTTACTCTGAGGTTAAGTTGTATCCTTTGTGTTTAGAGTAAGCGAACTTTATCCATCAAATCTCTCTATTTTTGTGATTTTTCTTTTCTTGCAAAATGTAGGACACCATAATGCTTTATTTTTTCTCTTTACCAAACATCATATATTATTAATTATATCTATATAATTCGCTAAATATGGCAAAGAGAAAAGAATCACCCACATGAAATGAATCTGATCATGGTATCAAGTCAACATATCTAAGAAATGAAAAACGTTGCCACATAAGCAAGCAGTACACAACATAGAGATAAAACCACACATTGGATAACGCCATTGTTCATTTCTCATTACTTCATGACTTTTTTTTTACTTTAAGGACTTCATGGTAACGTTATGTATCCAGCAAAGACACCTGTATGACCAATACACATAGTATACACTGAAAAAACATTACATAGGGTAAACAAACTTCATATGTCAAAAATAATATTGAAATCAGGTAAAACAGCTGAAATAAGAATAGTAATATGATTAGGCAGAACGAAAGAAAGGAAAAAAACAACAATTAGGTAGCTGTTATGGATATGCACATGAGTAGGGATGAAATGAAAACCTTTTTGATGGTTCTACTTGATGTAAATCGCGTTAAAATTTTAAAAAGTGCTTGTTATATCTCTGAAATCTCGCTTTTTTGGTTATTGTATGATCGTTATAGGCAAAGGAAAGTGATGAGATAGATAGGCTGAACGTATTAAAAGGAGATTAGCGGACGGAAAAATTTACAACGGAAAGCAATTTTAAGCATAAACTGCATTACTGTACACGAAGCATGATGAATATTCACTGAAATAACGTTTTCCACTCTTGATGACCCGGGAATTTTAGAGCAAAGATCTTTTTTTCTCTCTCAATAGCTTAGATTTCCGTAAGCTGAAATAGCCAGAATAGCACAAGACACTGCATGGGGTGAACACAGACACTGAGAGGCGATCTCGGACACAGGGAGCGATCACTGAGGGGCCTGAAGGAACCCCGTGGCCCGGCAGATCCTTCTTGCTTCCCCGGGGGCGCTCGGGGGCACCTCCGAGGGACTCTAACGCAGGCACGCCGAGTCTCGCTCTTCGGCGGACTCTGAGGTGGGGGAAGGTGCAGGAGGAGGCGGCCGCGGGTAGGTCTAGCGAGGAGGGGCTGCGCCTCGGGGCCACGGAGCGCCAGCCTCGAACGGAGGACAAGCCAAAAGAAAGGGGAACGGGAAGGCAAACGAGTGGACCACTGAGATGGGGATGAGACACACTGGCGGCGTTCGCGGGGGTCAGCGGAGGTTGCGCCTTGGACAGGAGGAGGTTGTCGGAGCGGTTGCCTACCTTCGTCACCGGCCATCTTGTCGTTTATAGAGAAGGAGAGCGAGAGTCACCACACCCACGGGCTACCGCGCCCCAACTGCCTGCTGCTGAGTACAGGTGGCACGGGATCTCCTCGCTTTCGGCCCTCGGCGGCCCCTTGGCAGCTGGCTGGCACCCGCG